TTGTCCCTGGGGCTGACTGCTCCTCTGTCCGAGATCCGGGCTTTTATCCCCTTTCTCCTGCTCTCTGGTCCTGCTGCTTTGGGCGGGCCTGAGTTTCCTCTCCTCACCTAATCCCTTCAGCTGATTGCTCTTCTCTCTGGCTTCCTGGCTTTTAATTCCCCTTCTCCTGCTCTTCCAGCCTGCTGCTTTGGGTGTCCCTGAGTTGTCTCTCCTCACCTGTAACCCTGGGGCTGACTGCTCTTCTGTCCAGATTCCTGGCACCATCTAGTTCCTGGCTTTTATCCCCTTTCTCCTGCTCTTCCGGCCTGCTACATACCTAATCGTTTACAGGCTGGGCTTTTGACCTTGGAATCGTCAGAGTCTAACACAGTGCCTGACATGGCACACGATGGATAACCATTTTCTGACTGACAGGGTGAAAATCTAAGCTCTTCTAACCCACAGCCATTCTGCTATTATTGGTGGCCTTCAAGTAGGCCATGACTCATGGCAACCCCACACACAATGGAATGCAATGCTGCCTGGTCCTGTGCCATCTCCATGATCAGCTGGGGACTGGACCTTTGTGTTCCATAGGTTTGATACAGTGGCTGCAACAATGGGCTCAGGTGTAGCAAGGATTGTGAGGCTGGCACAGGACCAGACAGTGTTTCGTTCTGCTGTGCACAGGGTCACCATGAGTCGGAAGTGACTCAATGGCACCTAACAACAATAACAACAGATATGTGGAAGTAGATCACCAGGCCTTTCCTCCTAGTCTGCCTTGATCTAGAAGCATATCATAGCAACACACAAGCCTCCACTGACAGATGGGTGGTGGCTGTGCATGAGAGGCATTGGCCGGGATCAAACCTGGGTCTCCCATACGGAAAGTGAAAATACTATCCCTGAACTACCCCTGCCAAAAGGGGCAACATAGGGTTCCTGCCACGGTTAAACTCTTCTCTGCCACTCTGTTCCAAAAATGGTGGTGCAAAGCATGAGTTTCAAACCTGGCAACTTCCTTTAGGCCTTCCCCTCATCCAATGAAAAGAATGACCACACCCTAAGAGCTACTCCACCCACCAGGCTTTCTGGAACTTGCTATAACACAGCAATCCCCCACCCGTGCCCCTTGATCCCTGCACGGGCATTACCTGTATTCACGCTCCTGTAGTATCTCCACTGGGTCTAGGCCCTGCGGCTTCTGGATGGGGCTGATGCGGCTCTGCTTCTGCTGCAGTTGCAGGATGGGCGAGGGCTGCCCTGGGGCTGGCGGTGGAGGCGCGGACGGCCCAGGCACAGCGGCCGCAGGAGGCTGCGTGACGGCAGGGGGTGCAGGTGCGGGCGAGGGCCGGCCACTGGGTGCAGGCGCAGGCAGCTTCTGCTGGGTGCCCAGGCTGCTCAGCTCCGACCCTGGGCCTGTGGGACAGAGCAACAAAGACAGCTGGGGTGGGGAAACTCCCTGCGGCACAGTGGGGGCGCTAACTGCCTTAAACACCTAAGGGAGAGGGAGAAGGGGAAAAGAGGAAAGAGGAAGGGAAGGAAGAAGGGGGATGGAGTGAAGAAAAGAAAGGAAAGCAAAAAAGGTAAAGGGAAGTAAAATGGAAAAGTAGAAAGAAAAGAAAATGGAAATGAAAAAAGTGGGAAAAAGGAAATGGGGAAGAAAAGAAAAAAATGTAAAAGGGAAAAAGGAAAAAGAAATGGAAAGAAAGAAAAGGGAAAAGAGTAAAACAGAAAAGGAAGAAAGAAGAAAAGAAAGAAAAAGAAGTCTGGCATCTGTCTCCACAGGGATACGGGACTCACTAATGAACTTTGGAGAAAATGGTCCAAAAATGACTCTTTAGTAATGAATGAATGAAGAAAAGGCCTACCAGCTTTCACTGTGGCTCCAGCTCAGGTTTTTTAAAAGAAGTCTAAGTGGTTTCAGCATTCAAAAATCAGGGGTAACATATTAGATGTGGTTTGGGTGTGGTTCTGAAATCACATTTGGCCAGTTGCAAGGCAAGCCGCTTTAGGCATCCCTGTCCCCATCAGAAAGCCCTCCAGTTGGAATCCACATGTCACAAATGCAACAACAATACCAGGCCTATGATGTGAACCAAAAGGATCTCACATTTTTCTGATGACTTATATAGCGTATTTCAGGCTCAATCAGTGACTCTTGAAAACTAATTTTTTGTTTTTATATATATTGCTAAAACCATCCAGTAATGAAAAAATGTTCCTCCCAGCTAAAAAAAAAAAAAATGTCCAATTATTAAGATTCAGTGGAGCACTTTTCTTATGATATCAGAATAAAGGGGCATGCAATCACCAAGCTTATTACAATGCACTTAGTAAGTTAAAATAATTTTTCATATGAAACTTCAGGAGTTGAAATTAATTGCTAGGTATGGACAAAAATAAGAAGTGTTTCATCTCTCCTTCTTGGTGAAATGTTTACTTAATCATTATTAATAAGCCTGGTGATGCTACCAGATGACTTAGTAAATACAAATCACAGAATCTCAGTAAGCAGATGTTTTAACCACCAACAGGCATTCTTCCAAGTATTTTCCATATATATCCTTCCTAAGAAAAATTAAAGTTATTAAATGATAACAAAAATAATAGTCTATATACTTCAGAGAGACTTAATAATTAACCACTTAAAGACATACATTATGAAAATCTGAACACATTTATTCAATTTTCAATGAGCACCATTTACAAATGGACTTAAACGGCAATGCAAAGAGAGCTATAAGCCAACATTGTGACAGGAGGAATGCGGAGATTTAGAACAAACTGCTTAGGAAATGTGTGTGTGTGCGTGCGTGTGTGCATGTGTGTGTGTGTGTGTGTGTAGGGGTGGTGGTAGCAGAGGGTCTTATCATTGTTCTTTTTCCATCCTTTCTGGAATCAAGTAACAGCTTCCAGAAAACATGAAGCTAGCTAAGATTTCTTTCTGAGAAAATCGGTAACCCTCATTCTAGAAGCTGATGAAAAAAAATCTTGAGGGAAAAATGCATTTCTTTTTATTTTTTATTATAGGTATTGCAGGAGCTCTGGTAGCATAATGCCTAAGGCACTTGACTGCTAACCAGAAGGCTGGTGGTTCAAACCCACCAGCTACTCCTTGGAAGGAAGATGGGGCAATCCACTTCTGTAATGATACTGCATTGGAAACCCAAGGAGGGGTTGCTATGAGTCGGGTCTGACTTGACGGCACATAACAACAACAACAACATAGGTATTACAGATGTAAGAGCTCTGGTGGCACACTGGTTAAGAGCTCAGCTGCAAACAGGAAAGTCAAGGGTTCAAACCTACCAGCTACTCTGTGGAAGAAAGATGATGCTGTATGCTTCTGTAAAGATTGACAGCCTTGGAAACCCTATGGGACAGTTCTACTCTGTCCTCTACGGTTGCTATGAGTGAGAATCGACTCATTGGCAACAAGTTTTTGGTTTAGGAAGGTGACTGCAGCTTGCCACGATTGGGCATGGCCAGAATGTAACTACTTTTAGTTAAGTCTGATGCCAGTTCCCCAGGAGGCCCATGACTTCATTTGCCTGACTGGAGCTGACTCTACCCTTTGCACTTCACCAGACACTCATGGTCTATGGAATGCTAAGCCCTTTCCCTGAGAACTTCAAATGGAAGACAAATTACATTCACTTATCTCTGACCCCCTCTCAAACATAAACAATTTGCCCTTAATTGTCAGAGGTAGAAAAACCCCTTCTGCTTTACCTTCAGTTTTCACCTTAGGGGTCAAGGTCTGCCCTGCTCTCCCTCAGTGAGCTCCAGCCCAGCCTAAGGGCATCTTACTGGAGGCACTGCTGTGCCAGATTTTAAGACATAGGGAAACAAACATGAATATACATAAGTCTTAAAAAAAAAAAACTGTTGAGAAGGGCCCAACTCATAGTGTCCCTATGTGTTATATAGAGCAGAACTTTAGAGTTTTCTTAGCTATAACTTTTACGGAGGCAGACAGATCACCACATTTTTCTTCCTTGGTGTCACTGGATGAGTTTGAACTGCCAACCTTTTAGGTTAGCGGTCCAGTGTAAACCATTCTTAACACCCAAGGACCTAAGTGTTACATGCACAGAACTTTGTGTGTTCAGAGTTCCCTTTGACTCAGGCACACAAGGGTTCTTATGCAAACAATGGCTCTATGCACTAAGTAAAGACTTAAGTAGTAAGAAAAAGGAACCAAGTTTTAAATCAAGCCCTCAAAAATTTTTAAGCAACAATAAAAGGGGGCAGGGGTAAGCATAGAAAGAAATGAGCGATACAACTTTCATTTTCTACCATCAGCTCCAGGAGCTCTGATGGTACAGTGCCTAAGGCATGTGACTGACTGCTAACTAGAAGGCTAGCAATTCAAACCAACCAGCCACTCCTTGGAAGGAAGACTGGGCACTACTTCAGAAACCCACAGAGGGGTCAAGGGGTCGCTATGAGTTGGCTCTGACGCCACAGCAGTGAATTAGTTAGTTAGTTACCATCAGCTCCATGTTGTCTCCCTCAAAAAAAAAAAGTCTCTTTCCAGCTCCAATATTTTAAAATTCTGCTTTAATCTCAAAAACTACACTGAATGATGGGTTAGACTGGGGTGGAAACCATGGCAGACAAGGACACATTCCATGATAAGTGGGGCTGATGCTTCGCAGTGGAAACCACTGAAGAGCTATTTTGCAGAATTTCATTCCACCTGCAAGACCAATTCTCAGGGGGTGGATGTGACAATGTCCCTTTGGCAAATTATAACTTGGGAGCAGGTCTGAGGCAGGCCTGGTAGTGCAGTGGTTAAAACACTCAGCTGCTAGCCAGAAGGTTGGTGGTTGGAACCCACCAACCTCTTTGTGGGACAAAGACGTGGCAGTCTGCTTCCTTATAGATGACAGCCTTGGGAACTCTATGGGACTGTTCTACAGGGTTGTATGAGTCAGAATTGACTTGACAGCAACAGGGGGAGGCTGACCACCTCAACCAAAAAGATCCTCTTCACAAGTGAGTAACATAAGAAAATGGGACAAGGCGGGGCAAGATGGGGGACTAGGCAGAAGGATTGCACAGACCCTCTTCAACAAAGAAAAGGGAAACCAATTAACACAGACACAGAAGATAATCTTGGACCCC